TCGTATATAAATGAAACAGAACATTTTTTTAAGTAAAATTTTTTCATTATTTTCTAAAAATTTAAAAAGTTTCAATTTCATTTTCAATTAAAATTTGTACACTCTAAATCTGAATCAGTGAAAATTTCACTGATTTCAATTCAGTGGCCCAGTTTTCTTTGATGAATCAGTGGAATTTCACTGACAATCAGTGGTTTTTACTGATTCTCAGTGAAATCCCACTGATGAATTAAAGAAAACTGGGCCACTGAATTGAAATCAGTGAAATTTTCACTGATTCAGATTTAGAGTGTAATTGACAAATAGAATAGAATATGTAATGTTTCTTTTCCAAAAGAAAAGAATGAGTTTCTAAACAATATTGTTATTGAGAAATATAAATTAATTATAATTTTTGAACAATTAACAATTTTCTCATATTTTTTAGAAATAAAAAGGAGAAAAATTTGCATAATTTAGATCAGTCAAACGAAATTTGTTATAGAAAAAAGCAACAAAATGATTTGTTAATCATAATTTTTTTATAATTATTTTCTGATTTCAAATATTGTTTTTATTGTTTTTTTACTTGTTTCTATTTTTTTTATTTTTTTATCTGTCAAACAATATTTTTTAAAGAAAAAAAAACAAAAGCCTACACAAAAACTAACTTTAAAGTGTGGATAGACAGAATGAAAGAATGAAATACGAAGATTATTAGGGGAGAGTGGTCCTAAGTTGGCCACCCTGCATTTCTCAGAGATGGTATACTGGACGAATCTATAATTTTGTGGTATGATATATTGATAAACCATGATATAATTTATGGACCTAATTATAATCTAAGATTCTTCTACGCATTGTGAGAACAATAATATTGTTTACGACCAAAAAAATTTAATTTTTCTTGTTTTTTCGAGAGCAGCTATACAAGAGATAAATAATTAAAAATTTCTAAATAAGTGTGTGCGCTAGTTCCTTTATTTAATGTTGTAATAAGAGGTTCTGTTGATTTTTTAATTAAATTTTTTTTTATTAGCGTAATAATTTGAAACTTGTAAAAATCTACAGTAGTCCTAAGTTGGCCACCTATTGTTTTTGTTTGTTTTTATTTATGTTTTATTTCTTTTTTGTGTTTTTATCACGAGAAGGACCGTAAAAGTGTAACGTAGGAATTAAACAAAGACAAAAAACAAAAAAAATGGTTTAAAAAACATTAGAAAAAACATAGTACAAAAACGCCTGTCTCTACAGCCATCCACCACTGTAAATAAATGAAATAAAATAATGCTTCATTTTCTAAACAAAAATAGTTAAATAATGCGTTTTTATTCTCCTAAATGTATCAAATTTGTAAAAATTTCTGCGTAATTGAAAAGAATATGCATTTCTTTCTTATACACAAGCGAAAAAAAGTGGTGGCCAACTTAGGACCGCTATTTCTGAAATGTCCAAAATGCAGCTTATCACTTTTTATTGTATTTAGACTACAAAAGCTATTCTATAACGTTCTAAATACCACAAAATTATAGCAAAACGATCTCTGAACACTAATATATACTTGCCGAAGTGATTAAATTTCATTTTGTTACTATTTTCGACCAATTTGCTTAGGCGGCCAACTTAGGACCACTCTCCCCTATAGTTAATTTACAATTATATGTTTTAAACAAAAAACTGCATTTGCATAAAAAATGACAATTATTTCTCACAGTTTTCAGTTTAATCGATGGGTTTTTAAAATGTTTAATATTTTATAATTTATTTAATTAATTATACTTTAACAATTAGAATTTAAAAATAAGAAACGAATATACAATAAATTTTAATAATTCTTATTTGTCGTCAAATAAAATAGTTTGGTAACAATATTTAAACACTTGTTTAAATTACTTCTAACTTTTTCTTGGAAAATAATGGATTTAGAAAATAGCATCATTATCTATTAATACATGTCATGTAAATTAATTGTTAATTATTTACGTTTTTGATAAAAGAAATTAAATTTTACTAAGCTGTAGTGTATGAAGGTAATTTTGCAATGAAATTATGTTGTGAGTTTAGGCTATATCCTAAACTTTAATTATTATGAAAATAGTTAAATGTTTGCGTACTATTTTTGTGAATTTGAAATTAATTATTGAAAATAACCTAAACCTAAACTGGTTAGTGTCCAAGTCTATAGTGCTGAAGCTTCCGAGTCCGATTTCCAGGAGGGCAAAATATTTTAATTTCAGATTAATAAATAAATTAACTTCGATATTTGAATGACAAAAATAAAGAAATAGAAATACGTTCCTGTTGATTAATTAAATTACTTTTTATACAGTTGTAAATCCTTAAATTGACACTAAGGAAGCATACTAAATTAGGACCAGGCTAAAATTGCATCACAAAACTCTTTTGGACCTAACTAAGATGACAATCTAGAGCCAAGTTATAGATCTGTTCCAAATTGCCCTTAGGAAAAATTTAAAGTATAGACGCTGTAAAGACGAGTCGAATGACCTATTTATGAACTTTATACGGCCTATTATTAAGGAGTTATTGACATTTAAGGAATGAAACATTTTGATAAATTTGATTTTTTGCTATTAAATTGTAATAATGTATGAAAATAATATAATTTATAATATTTATAAAATGAAAATGTTAATGAGGAAGTAAAGTGTTTATGAATGAACTCGAAAATTTCTGCTTTAACTTTCTATAGTGGTTTTTATAATTATAATATAATATATGTACAGTGCCGCTCAATAAATTTTGCCCACAGAGATTAAACACTTTACAAACAGTTTTGTATTTTGTTTATTATTAAAGTTACAAAGCTCGAAAAGTTCTCATTTGAAAGCTCAATTCCTGAGCTTTAACACTATCTGTATATAAAATAGAAATTGAAAAAAGAATTTTGTTAATGTTTAAATAATGTTATTGCATAACAAAATTGTTCAATTTTTTTTGCTTTTTTTAAAGTGATACAGTTTTTTTTAGAAAATCATCAAATTTTACTCTATAGGAGACAGAATAAGAGACCTATATCTTTGATGCTTTATTTTGAGAAAATGAAAAATGGAATAGTATTTCTTTTTGGAGGGTTTATTAAATACATATTGAAAAGTGGAAATTTTTTTTTAATTATATAACAAAATTGCGGCGGTAAATTTCATATTCAAAATAGGCTACTTTTTTTCCGAAATAGTTTTTTGAAATTTTAAGACCTAGAACAAAAATAAAAAAATTCTTTTTAAAGATGATAAAACTAGCTTTCAAATGGTATAAGTGTGATTAAATTGCGATGGATTTCTAAAACTTAAAAAAAAGCAAAAAAAAATTTAAAAATTTTTTATTGCAATAACATTACTTAAACATTAACAAAATTCTTTTTTCAATTTCTGTTTTAATATACCCAGTATTAATGTTTAGAAAATGAGACTTTTTTGAGTTTTGTAACTTTAATAATAAACAAAATACAGAACTTTTTGTAAAGTTGTTAATCGCTGTAAGTGGGCAAAAGTTATTGGGCGGCACTGTAATTATTTAAAATTTTTCGATTTTGTTGATAATTTCATTTTATCAGATGAAAGCACAATATGTAATTCGAAACTATATTATGCATGATGAATATGAATTATATTAATTAATTAATAGCAATTAATTACTACTTATAATAATTAATAAAAAAATAATTTAAATTATATTGATTTAAATATACCAATATAAAAAATACATATACATAAATAATATATACAAATAAAATTAATAACTAAATAAATAATAAGAAATTTTTCTATAATGAATAAAATTTACTTCAATTACGTTGATTATAATTTCAAGTTAGAAAAGTGTTTGAAGTTAAGGAAATAACAGTTTAAAGTATCATAACCAAAGATGAAATAATCAAAAGTCTCGTGACACGTATAACTCTATAAATATAATAGAATAATCACGGATGAAAGTCACGAGAGAGAAGATGAGACAAATGACTAATTGAATGTCATGAAAATTTTTCATGACTTTCGAAGAGACGTATGTACATGTCAATTAGATAATTGTATATAAAAATTTATTTTCTATCTATTTCATTTACAATCTTTCGCTCGAAATGAATCGATAACATTACTGTCTTATTTATACCGCCACGTTTGTAAATGTCGAGCTCACAGAGCTAAAAGCATCGCTTAGAAAAGCTCAAAGCTGCTGAGCCCATTTTCAAAAATACTTCGAACTATGTATTAAAAATTGATCTTCTATTCTTAATTTTTCTATTTTTAATATTTTATGTTTATTTGCATTCAGAAAAAAACAAAAGTAGGTTGATAAAATACGTGTGAAAAAAAAATTAGGAGAATAAAAAGCATATTAAAAAAAATAATGTGTGTTAATTAAATCGATGAGAAAATAATAGGCTAAACGAGAAGAATTTTTGACTGTACTATAAATTTTCGACATTGTTAAAAATAAATGTCATAAAGAAATTTGTTAGTTGTATATTTTATAGAAATAATTTTATTTTGTAAAATTAGGAAACAATATGTATTTTATAGCCTATTTTATAAATTTATAGTTTCAGACTACTTGTGCTATATTCAAGAAGCAAAACAATTAGATCAAAATCTCTTTTAAGGTTAATAATAGCTAATGAGATTTATAAAACTTAAATATTTTATCATTGAAAAATCATTCAGCATAAAGCATTATAACTATTTTCTTTTCTACATTGTAAATTTATGTTGCCCTACTGTCTAAAATTAGCAATGGTACATAATAACTTAGTTTTAACTATTTTTGACTAAAAAATGCCCTAATGGAATTAATAAAATAGAAAAACAAAATATTAAAATAAACATTATCAAAAATATTACCATAACCAAAAACTAGATTTTAATATTTTACATGTTACATTTATTTAATTTATAATAAGAATTTAAAACAAAAATGAAAAAAAACTTTAAATGATCAATTTTTAATATTTGAATTACAAATTCTTTATTCTATAATAGTAGATGTGAATATTTACTGACCCTTTGATCTAGAATTACTTTCCCACGATGAGAATGATCGATAAAACATTTAATAATCGATAATTACACTTCTTTTAATGTTGATTTTCACTTTATATATTGACACTATTTTTCGCACAACGTGTTAACACGTATTAAACAATAACAAAAAACTCTGATTAAATAGATCACAACAGTTCGACACGACGAACAGCAAATAACTGGCAGTTGGCCTGAACTGAACCCCACCATATGTTTTGTCACTACATATATACGTTAACATATAAACCAATGTAAACAGGACAACAGCTGATCACACTCGAGAATGATATAAGTATGATTCATTTTCTCTTTATTTTATTGTAGTTTGCGTATATTAATGATATTTAATCTTAAATAAAAAACAAAATAATTTACTCACATATATATGTTTTATAGATTATAATAATTCTATTTCTTAAACTATCTATATTTATCAATTTTGTAAGTAATTCATGACATTTTTTTGTGAAATGTTTTTCCTGATGATATATCTATTAAAATTAAGAGCTTACAGAAATAGTGCATGGAAGAGGGAGAGGTTAAATTAATATTAAAATATTGAAGGGAACGACCATTCTGAGTTAAAAAGGTAGTTTTAGAATAATTAAGTCTGACAGGCCAAGAAGAAAAATACTTAATTTCTTATGAAATGCAAGATGAATAAAATAAAGATTGCCTAAAAATTTAGCACCATGGCTCGCAAATGACTTGCAGCTCAAAAATTTAACATAGTCGTTATGCAACAAAATTGGCATTTAAAATAATTGTCATGAAACAGAAATCATATTTAACATAATTTGTCATTTAACAAAATTGTTTTGCAACAAAATTGACATTTAACATAATAGTCCTATATCATAATTAACACGTAACAGAATTGACATTTAACATAATTTGTTTAGCGTAAATTTTAAAATTGACTAATGAAAAAAATCAGAATAAAAAATAATTGGTCAATTTAGAAATTCGCACTAAAATAATTATGTTAAATGTCAATTTTGTTGCAGGTCAATTGTGTAACATGTAAATTCTGTTGCATAATAATATTGTGTTAAATGTCAATTTTGTTACTTGTCAATTGTGTTAAATGTCAATTCTGCTGAGTGTCAATCCTGTTTCTTGACAATTCTGTTAAATGTCAACTGTTGCATATGTCAATTCCTGTTCAATGTCAATTCATTTTTATTGCAATTCTGCACGGAGAGAGAATATATATTACATTTTGTAAAAATATTTTCAAATTGGGGAAAAAGTGCAACAAAGCGAAATTTTGATATAGAAAATACTAAAATTTAAAAAAAGTTTTGTGAAATTTATTAAAATTATATTAGAATTTAATTAATATTCTTGTTATTCGATATAATTATATACTAAATTTCACATAAGTTTTTTTTAAGTTTAGTATTTTTTATATCAAAATTTCGCTTTGTCGCACTTTTTCCCCAATTTGAAAATATTTTTACAAAATTTAATATATATTCTCTCTCCATGTGTTGCATGTCAATTGTGTTACATGTTAATTCTATTGCATGTCAATTATGTTAAGTGTCAATTTTGTTAAATGATTTTTTGGTTATTTGGCAGTTGGAGAATATTCATGCGTCCCTACACGGAAAGAAAGAAATAGTTGACACACATCCGCAGATATGTCAAATATACTTTTCTACGTTTGAGATGTTGGTAAAGTGAAAATTTACCCATATGAAAATTTAGTCAAATACGTCAAATAAGAACGTTTGATAGTCTCTGAAATTTGTAGGTTATGTGCGACATACAGTTATTCCACCCCGGTATAGGACTGCAGCCGAAAAGCAGTCAGCTTAGTGGTTAATGTTTCTATGTGCGAAAAGTGTTCGCTAGACGGGCACTGTGCGCAGCACGCATTACTATTCAATTACAGCCGTTGACAATTAAGTGATTGTTTTCAAAATAAATATAATAAATTGGTTAGTATACTATTTCCTTATGAATATTTATTATATTATATTATTATATGTGAAGTGTAATAATGCTAAAGTATAATGGACGTGAGTGCATTGCACCAAACTGCAAATCAGGCTATATGTCTCAGTCGACCAAAAGTGAGGAGAAAATACACTTTTTTTCAGTCCCTGGAAATAAAGATAGTTTAGAATTATGGCAAAAAGCAATTTTAAGGAAAAATTTTGTTATTAGAACGGGACAAGTGATCTGGGGAAAACATTTTAATAAAGAGAACATTTTATGGAAACGTGAGGTAAAGGATCAAAATGGACATGTTATGGGATCAGTGAGTACTTTGTTTATTGTAAATATTTTGAAATGTTTATATTTTTAACATTTAAATTCTGTTTGGAAATTTTATGAAAATAGTAAAGTAAAACAGTAAAAAATCATTGAATAGCGAAAATTATTTTAATTTTACAAAGAATTCTATTAAAATTTTTGAGAATAATTGAATGTCTGTATAGCATTTTATTAAATTTTGTTGAAAATAATTGAATTCTTGCAAATGATTTTTATACAATTATTTAAAATAATTGAATTTCCTAGTAAAAATTTACTATTTTTCAAAATAATTGAATTCTTGTGATGAATATTGTTATTTATGAAAATAATTAAATTTTGCAAAGAATTTTATTATAAAAATGCCTCAAAATAATTGAACTTTAGGGAATAATTTATTTTTATTTATCGACATAATTAAATTCTCTCGAAAAATTTTTTATGTAAATAATTGAGTAGCTGGATCGAAGAACCGGCTCTTCGCTCGGACCACAATTTTTTTTCAAAAAACTGAATTTCAATAAAAAATGTAGTTTGTGAGTTACTTAGTTTCCCAGTAAAAATGAAAGTATTGAGTGGAGCGTTTAGGAATTGAGTGAAGCTCTGAGCCAATACGGATTCGAGTAAAAACCGTATTGGGACGTTTGACTCAATCTTTTTTTCATCCGCCGAATACGGTCTTATTTTAGCATTAAAATTAAAATCACATGAGCAGAGTACACATTATAAATTGAAAGCACAATTGTCCTGGAATATAAAAATGCCGATTTTGATAAGAAACAGTGAATATTTGTTAAAAATTGGTAAAAGCAAAGTTTGACAAGCGCGACTGAATTTACCATGTGAATAAATGAAGTGGTATCCAGTAAAAAAAAATTGATACCCGGACCCCGGAGTTCGTATACGAGCTCGGTAGCTCGTATGAGAAATATGAGAAAACTCTCATACGAGCCTTTTCCGTAATGAGAAGTGTATACACTTCTCATTACGGAAATCATTCACTGAGAAAAATGGATATTAAAACTCTTAATATATTAGATATTAAAAATGAGATACTTAAATATATTATCTAGATTTTAACGCTTAGTATATCAGATGTTTAGATTTAATATGTAGTGTATTGTAGAATATAACGTTTAGATACTGAACTTGACAATCTAATATATTGAAATTTAATATCTGTGCGTTGCGCAAGCGCAACGTCTAAGGCGCCTACAGCAGCCTACAATAAAGCAAAAGTGAGGTTATATTATCACCCTGTTTTGATGTGCGAGCATCAAAATGGAAAAACTTATGTCGTAACTGCCAGCGAAAATTAATATTTTTTAAGTTCATTAACAAAATTAAGCAAAAAATTAAACAAAATTACAATAATTTTGCAAGGAAATTATTTTATAAAAGTTTTTAAGTAGAGTAATTTAAGTTTCATTAGTTCACCGCGGCCACTAGAATTGGCGCCACCTCCTTGACCACTGACACCCCTGTCCGTCTTTCCCAGAAAGTAGTCAGCTTAGTGGTTTGCACTTTAATGTGCAAAAAAGTTCCTCGAGATGGCGCAGTACTCACTACTCGTCAGCAATATTCGTTACCTCATTCATTATTGTATTTGTTGTGTTGAAATCGGTTAGAAATCTCAACTAAATTTTATAAAAAAATGTGAAAGTAAAAAAAGTATTAACATTAAAAACTATTTTAATGTTGTAAAAAGAGCATATTGTTTAAAAAGTGAAAATGTTTTTAATAAGTAGCCGGCAAAGCTTGCCTTAGTTTAAAAATTTTAAAAAAAGTTTAAAACTTTTAAATTTTTATTTAATATTATATTTTTTATTCATTGTATACGTTCATGTTTGTTTTTGTCTTGAGTAAAATTTCATCTCAAATAATAAATAAAAAAAATGGATCAAAGTTAGCCCTCCGTCACACACCTAGGGAGAGATTCCCTCTACGGTTTCAGTATTTTTTAAATAACTTTTGTTTTCCTCATTGCAAAATAAAATCAGTTTCTATACCTTTCGACAATTTACTCCTCAACACATTTCTAAAAAAACATTTAGTTTAAACATAATTAATATTTAATTATGAAGCTTCAAAGCCAGAAGAAACTCGAAAAAGTGAGGTTATGTTAAATAAAAAAATCAAGTTTTAAAAACATTTTTTGTTCCACTGTTGGTTGATGACAAAATTATATTATAAATATAATTAAAATAAATTGTTTAATGATTTTTTTGCTTATTTGTTAATGTTACATTATTTTTACATGTCGAGTGGAATTTCTTTGAAGATGTGCATTCGTGTAATTAATTTTTATTTTTGAGACCGAAAATTAATTTGATTAATTTTATAATTTAGAATAATTTACTACATATTTGTAAGTTTGTGTTAAAACTAAATTTTTGTTGATTCCTTTGTTTATGTTTTAATGTTGCTTATTTTACAATGTGGTGAGCGATTCCCTCTGAACGTGTGTAAGGTCGGAATATTTTCTCATGTGTGTGACGGAGGGTTAATGCTATTTATATTATTTAAATTTGTTTTCTTTATTTTAAATATACTATTTATCTATGACTTTCCTTTAACTTTTATTATAAATCAGTTTATCTGATAATTTAAACGATTTAAACGAAAGTCATCAGTTTATTGTACAACACATTTATGTATTTTCATACTAATTATTCAATTGTTCTATCATCTTTTATGAGTTAAAAATACAATATTATTTCTTATCGTGTATTTTTAACATCACTAACAACAAGATTTCATTATAAAAACAAATAATTTATTCGTTTCTATGATATTTTTCTATTGCTTTAGTGAATTTTGAGCGAGTGTTGAGAACAGCGCCATCACGTGTTACTTTTTGGCACATGAAAACGCAAACCACTAAGCTGACATATTTTTCCTTCAAAATACATAGGAGTCG